TAGATGTGTATAGTTCATGTTGAAAGGAAAATTTGGGTTAGAAAGTGAAGGAGAAAGTGAAAAAAAAGCAGAAATAGATAGTGTGGCTTGTAAGCCGGAACGTGAGAGAGGAGAGGGAAGCGAGAAGTGACCACGAATCCTGCATTTTTAAGCGTTTCGCGCCTAGAGACAACTGACGTGGGTGCATCTCTGGTTTTTGTTTGTTTAATGAGGAACAATTGAGATCAGACGAGAAAAATGAAGCTAGCAGATGCAGCAGTCAGAATTGAGGCTCTTGAAGCCAAGGTTGACAACCTGGTAGCAGAATGCCTCAAAATACATGAAGAAAATTTGAATCTGAAGGAATTGGTAGAAAACCTGCGTAGAAATACAACAATTCAGAGAGAAAATATGGAAACACCTGACCTGAAAATTAAGGAAGAAGTTAGAAGAAGCTGAAACCAAAATTGGCAACGGTAGTGAAAACCGAAGCGAAAAATCTAAAGGAAAAAGTTGAGGAGGTCATTAAAGTTCAAGAAACTGTCAAACAGATTGAAAGTAATTAGTCAAACAGCCAAGCTCAAATAATGGAAGAAGCCAAGAAGATGACAGCTACATATGCAGATGTATCAAAGGTAAAGGAAACCATGAATGAAATGGAAAAAAAGATAGAAAAAGACATCAAGACCACCAAGGAGGAAATCAAAACACAGCTTGCAGCAACGATTAAGAAGAACAAATTCAAATCCCACCTTGGGCAACATGCAAGAAATATTGCTAATTTGGCTGACGTAAACAAGGACATAGTCATATTGGGACATGAAGAAAAAGTTGTAGAAGATGGAATTGAACGATACAACGAAGACAAGAAATTAATTGTACACATTCTCAAGGTCATAAATCCCGAATTCGCCGAGCAGAATATCATAGCTCACAGGAGGCTGGGATTATTCGAAAAGGGAAACGGCCTCTAAAAGTAACATTCTTGAATAATCAAATAGTAACTGATATAATAAAGAAAGCCAAAGTTCTGGCCACCCATGAGGAATATAAAAAAACCTGGATAAGAGAAAACATGACCAAAGATGACAGAGTAACACTACAAAAGAAATTGGAAGAAGTAAAAAACAAAAATGAACAAAGGACTGAAGAGGAAAAAACTTATTTATTTGGAGGGTGAGAGGTCTCCAAGCAAAGCAAATATACTATCGGAACCAAAATGTAGAGGCAGACAAACATTAACCCAGCAACGAAATTTAATACCTAAAGATTATATAGAAATAGTTTATACAAATATTGATGGTTTATCTTCAAAGTTGCTTGAACTAGAGACAATAATTGATATGGATAAACCGGATGTAATATGCATCACTGAAACCAAACTGGACCCCTCCATAGAAGATGTAACATTAGGGCTCAAAGACTATAATATTTGGAGAAAAGATAGGGCAGATGGAAATGGAGGGGGGTTAGCAATATTAACAAAGAAAGGAATTATTATAAAGGAGTTAGAAATTAATCAGGACCCCATAGTGGAAATGAAGGTAATTGAGGTAGAAATAAATGGGGTAAACATAATAATAACCACGGTATACATGCCACCTCAAACATCGGTGTGGTCACTAGAAAATTACCAGAAACTAATTCTAGAGACAATAAAGAGCCTGGAAGAAGTGCTACAACTTTCGGAAACCAATTCAACAGAAATTCTTGTTACAGGGGATTTTAATAGCAAAATCGACTGGGAAAATTTCAATCCTAGAGCACAATCAGACTCGTGGAATGCTAAATTACTAGATGTCATAAATGAGCACTGCTTTTTCCAGAATGTAACAGATCATACCAGGATAAGAGGGCTAGATAGGCCGTCTATGCTTGACCTAATATTTACAAAGCATAACAACGATATCAAGGATATCGAGTACTGTCCTCCTTTAGGAAAAAGCAACCATGTAGTGATTAAACTAAAATACTGTCTGCTACAAGAAAAACTCATCGTAAGCAAGGAAAAAAAGGAAAGGACAATTACAAAAGAGGTGATTATAGAAGCCTTAAAGACTTCTTTGATAACATAAACTGGGAAACACTTCTGGATGATGAGAACCTTGATGTTCAATATTCAAAATTTTGTGAGATCTATAAAAAAGGAGTTGAAAAATTCATATCCAAATTCAAAATTGAAGCAAGTAATGGCCAAAAATGGTTCAACGACAAATGCAAGAAAATGAGGGAAAAAAAGCATCTCCTTTGGAAAAGATTCAGAAGGCATAGATCTCAGGCAGCATATGAAAGATATAAAGTAGGATGAAATGAATATACCCAAACCATGAGAGAGGCGAAATTAGACTTTGAAAAGCATATAATCAACAAATGTACAAGTCAACCAAAACTCTTCTTTAACTACATAAATAGTAAAACTAAAAGTAGGGATCAAATTAGCGCCATCAAAGACAATAACATTATATATTCTAAGGAGGAAGAAATGTGTGAAATCCTAAATGAGAAATTTCAGTCAGTGTTTGTTCAGGATCCATGCTTTGATATGGCAAATACCCATAATAGCGTAAAGAACCTCGAAAATATCATCCTCAAAAAGAACAAAATAAAAGATCTACTAAAAGGATTAGACAAGACCAAAGCAGAGGGACCAGATGAAATTTCTAACTGGGTTCTTAGGGAATGTGCCGAAGAACTCTGTACTCCTTTATTGTTAATATTCCAAAATTCATTAAGACAAGGCAAACTACCAAAAAGTTGGAAACTCGCAAATGTTACACTCTTATATAAGAGCGGTGACAAACAAAACCCACTAAATTATAGACCAGTTTCATTAACTAGTGTAGTATGCAAACTGCTAGAAAGAATAATTAGAAAACAATGGGTTGAAATGCATGAAAAACACAAAATGATATCAAATAAACAATTTGGTTTTCGAGAAGGAAGGTCGTGTGTAACAAATCTCCTCTGTTTTTATGATAGAGTATCTGAAATATTACAAGAAAGAGATCGCTGGGTGGATTGTGTGTATTTAGACTTTAAGAAGGCTTTTGATAAGGTGTCTCATAGAAGACTACTATGGAAATTAGAACACCTAGGTGGAGTGAAAGGCAACCTACTCGCATGGATGAAAGACTTTCTTCATGAAAGACAAATGAGCACAGTAATTAGAGGAAAGCATTCTACATGGCGACGAGTAACCAGCGGAGTGCCTCAAGGATCGGTGTTGGCGCCGATTATGTTTACTATTTTCGTCAATGATTTAGAGTCAAACATAAGCCCAGGTAGTTATTTGAATATGTTTGCAGATGATGCAAAGATAAAAAAAAGGATAACAGACAACGTCCCATGCCAATGCCTCCAAAGTGACATTGAGAACTTATTCACGTGGAGTTGTACATGGAAATTGGAATTCAATACCAATAAATGCCACAGAGTCAGGTTTGGAGAAAGTAGAAATCGCCCACTATTCCAATACAAATTAGGGGACGCAGTATTAGACACAGCTGACAGGGAAAAAGATCTTGGGATAATCATAAATAGAAACCTAAATCCAAATGACCATATAAATGAAAAAGTCCACAAAATGTTAGGAATGATTGCCAACATGAAGAGGGCATTCGCGTATGTGGAAGAAGATATGGTAAAAAAGATTATTAAAGCAATCATAAGACCAAGTCTTGAGTACGGTGCAGTGGTATGGAGTCCACACTTAAAAAATGATATTGACAAACTGGAAAGAGTTCAAAGAGCGGCGACAAGATGGGCACCTACCCTAAGAGATCTGAGTTATGAAGACAGACTACAGAAATTAGGACTTACTACCTTGTAAGAAAGAAGGAAAAGGGGGGACATGATTATGCCTTTCAGCTACATTACAGGAAGAGTGAAGATAGATAAGGATGACTTTTTGATCTTGAACACAAGAAGAACGAGAGGAACCAACAAAAAGTTGACAGTGAAAAGAGGTGATAAAGATGTCAAAAAATATAGTTTCCCAAACATAATTATTGAATCGTGGAACAGTCTCCCCAATCAACTAGTGTGTGCCAAAACTGTGCATCAATTCAAAAAGTTATACAATAATTTAAGTATAGCAGACGGGACCACCTGAGCATACCTCTTCTCTCATATTCAAACAACTAGGTAAGAACAAATAGGTAAGAACAACCACGCACACGCACACACACACACACACACACACACACACACACACACACACACACACACACACACACACACACACACACACACACACCCACAACCCACACACACGCACACACACACACACACACAAACACACACACCACACACACACACACACACACACACACACACGCACACACACACACAACACACACACCCACACACACACACACACACCACACACACACACACACACACACACACACACACGCACACGCACACACACCACACACACACCACACACACACACACCCACACAACAGCACACACACACACACCCACACACACACACCACATGCACACACACGCACACACACACCCACACACACACCCATGCACACACACACCCATGCACACACACACACACACACACACAACACACCACACCATGCACACACACACACACACCACACACACACGCACACACACACACACACACACACACACACCACACACGCACACACACCACGCACACACGCACACACAACGCACACACGCACGCACACACGCACACACACACACACACCACACGCACACACGCACACAACACACACACGCACAACGCACACATACACACCCACTCACGCACACACCACGCACACCACACACACACACACCCATGCACACATACACACCATGCACGCATACACACCCACGCACACACACACAGACACACATGCACGCATGCGTGCAAACACACACACACACACACACACACACACACACACACACACACACACACACACACACACACAACACACATCACACACACACACACACACACACACCACACACACACACACACACACCACACACACACACACACACACACACACACACACACACACACACACACACACACAAAACATTATAAACAAACCTCCTCACTAAGTAAGTCCAAATAGTGTCTGGGCTTGTACTTCTCCACCCACAGTGTATCTTTCACTACCTCCTCATCTTCTACACCAGATTCCATGCCAGAGTCCTCTGCCTCTTGTAAGCTCCTTGCTCTTCTTTCATCCTGTCGGATTTGCTGTAAAAGAAATATGAATATAGATACTAGATCAACCAGGTCTGAAACACTAAACTTTGATTCTTTAGTTTTTTGATGAAAGAAAAGCTAGAGATATACCTGACTGGACAAGGCAAGAGCCAATGGGAAAGGTCAAGAAATAGTAAATGGTTGAGTCCTTTGATAAACACACACACACACACACACACACACACAAACATACACACACACACACACACACACGCACACACGCGCACACACACGCACACACGCGCACACGCACACACACACACACACGCACATGCACACATGCATTTACACACACACACACACACACACACACACACACACACACACACACACACAACACACACACACACACACACACACACACACACACACACACACACACACACACACACACACACACAACACACACACACACACACAAAAAAAAAAGAGCTGAGAATAGATTAAACAGAATACCTATCTTTTTACATACATATAATCAAATTGATTAATTCTTTTTGCCGACAACTAATCTTGAAGCAAAAGTACAACTCTACAAAAGGTAAAAAAAATGAAAAACAAATATGTATTACCTCCCGCTCTGCCTGAGCTTTCAGTTGAGCATAGGGTATGTTTAAGAGACAATTTGCTTTATGAGAAGCAGTTATGGAATTGACTTGACTATCCCACTCCTCTTCCTCAATCTTGGTTAAGTAGTAACGTTCCCCAGTCTCTGTTGTGACAGCCTGGAAAGCTCCATCAGGAAGACGCTTATAAATCCGAGCTTCATGCTTGGGTCTACAAAAGAGGATATTAGTTAACATACGTCTTTATCAGAAGGAAAAGATCTTGAAGCTATCTCAAATTAGCAATTCAGGAACAGTAACATCAATAGCATATTACATCTCACAGTAAGTAAAAGAAGCTTAAGGGGACCGTCCCTGAAAAAACGCCAATTTTCTATTTTTGTTTATAAATAGAAAACGGTCTTACAGATTTTCATGAATTTTGGTAGGATGAAAGAGTACTTCATTACCCATCTTTTGACCAATTTTTAAAAAATTTTGGCTGAAGGGAATTTAAGCGCTATTAAAAAATCGATTTTTGATACATACGTCACTTCGGTACCTACCAAGTCTCACAATTATCATCCGTTTTCTATGTGTTTTCTGTTGAGAAAACCTCTAGGTCATACAATAAGAACGACGAATTCGAATTTGGAAATTCCGTTTAGTTTCCGAATTATCACATGTAATATAATCAGCAATTTTTTTTTTTTTAATCGGGGTTTTAAAAATTCGTTAAAAATTTAAAATTTTGATTTTAAAAAATCCCATTCGTTATTCTCTGCACATTCAAACGTTCTTTCTTCGGGGAGAAGCCCCATGATATCGGACACAAACTGTGGTACCAAAGTTTAAAAAAATGAATAAGCAAATAAATGACCTTGAAAATGTTTAGAAAGTTTTTGTTCATTTTCTATATTTTTTCGTCTTATTATAGTATGTGCCTATAGACCAAAAGGAATCCCAGACAATGTTCTTTCTTTTGTTTTTTTATTTCATTCAGATCGGATAAGTGATTAATGAACAGCGTAAAAAAATGTAAAACAGTATGACAAAAAAATCCCCAACCTGCACAGCCATGTGGCCTACTAAATGCTGTGGCTAGCCCTGCGATCACGCACGCGCAAGTTTGAACTTGTTCGCCTGCCATCAGCCGTCCTGTCCTCTACGCTTCACCTCATACTCTAACAAACAGGCGCGCAAGCGCGCGCGGGCGCACGCACGTATGTGTATTGCTGATATGAAGAGTAAAGGACCACTGGAAGCATGGCCAACTAATTGTGACATGCGCGGGCGCGCACATATACGCACACAAGTGCGTATATATAGACCAAAAGGAAGCCCAGACATTGCTCTTTCTTTTGTTTGTATTTCATTCATATCGGATAAGTGTTTAATGAACAGCATAAAAAAATGTAAAACAATATGACGAAAAAATCCCCAACCGACGCCGCCATGCAGCCTACTAAATGCTGTGGCTAGCCCTGCGATCACGTGTGTGCATGTCACAACTTGTTGGCCATGCTTCCAGTGGTCCTCTACTCTTCATATCACACTCTAACTAATAGCGCGCACCACACGCACATGCGCAGGCACGGATATACACACAAGCGCGCGCACTTATTCATTCAAACGCGTGCGCTCATGCACTCATACTCGCGCGAGCAATCATAGTCACACACACACAAGAACACACATACAGAAGTGCACATACACACATACACACATGTGCACATGTGTGTGTGCTGTATGATTACCTCGGCACATGTCTGAACTCGCACTCCTGTCTTCAGCCGTAATTCCTATTCTACATCACCCTCCAGCAAATATGCGCGCGCACATGCGCGTAAACACAAACACACGTGTACACACGTACACACGTGTACACACGTACACACTAACACGCACTCACACTTATACACATGTCGAAATAAACAACTGATTTTAGGTAAATGACCTTGAAAGTGTTTATAAAGTTATCGTTCATTTTCCATAGTTGTCGTTCACTTATATTATGCGCATATAGTCCAAAAGGAAGCCCAGACGCTGCTCTTTCTAATGGTCTTTATTTCATTCAGATCGGATAAAGGGTTAGTGAGCAGCATCAAAAAATGTAAAATGGAGTGGCGATGACATCGTCCCACCGCGACACCATGCGGCCCTTTAAATGCTATGGTTACCCCTGCGATCATGCACACGCAAGTTTGAACTTGTTCACCTGCCTTCGGCCATACTCTACGCTTCACCTCATACTCTAACAAACAGGTGCACACACACACGCACATATGTATTGTCACAATCGCACGCGTGCTTACATGTATGCTCGCAAGTGCGCGCGCGCACAAATATGCACACAAGTGCGCGCGCGCATGCACACACATAAGGGCACACACCTATACGCAAAAGTGCACGTGGGCTTACTCTCATACACTTTTGCACGAGCTCACACACAAACATACACACACGCTCGTGTGCGCACCTGCACATAATTGCAGATTTGATATGAAGACATGGTATTCGATAGCTAAACAATATCATACAACCCTGAGGTTTCAATGCAGTAAGTGTTTTGCATGTAGGCCTACTCAAACAGTCATATACACCTACTAAAGCAAACTAAAAAAAAAAATCTTTATTTCATCATAAATTATATTGTATCATTCATGAATTGACATAAGGCGTAACAATCATTATTTGAACTGATATCAACATGTAATTACTCTATCATAAGCCGGAGGAATGGTTGGAACAAGTGTAAAGGCCATTTACCTCAAATGAGCGAAAATGCACTTGCACCCCATGTTGCTTATGCCCTTGTTACACCAAGAAATAGTTCGAGATGGAGTCTAACAATCAAAAGGCAGTTTCCTCAGACATGTAACAATACGTTAGGACCAAAAACAAAATTCAAGTACCCCGACCCCCCTATGGCCAGGGACGGTCCCCTTCAAGAGCTCAAGAAATATTGCAGATTTTTAAGCACCCTTCATTTTCTACAATTTGGATACCTTTCATATTCATGGCTTTGCTGTTTTGATTTTTTTTTCACAAATAAGCAATCATGTCTAGTTTTGTGCAAACAAGAAAAATATATGAACAAATTGTACAATCAAGGATCCACTTAGTAATAAAAAAGAAATTAATATGCACAAGACACACAAATGATAAAATCTATGAAAATAAATTTGATAATAAATCTTAAATATTCATCTATAACATGATGACTGACCAAGACCACTTCATATGACAGTGAAGACATTCAGACATGTAACAATACATTAGGACCAAAAACAAAATTCAAGTACCCCGACCCCCCTATGGCCAGGGACGGTCCCCTTCAAGAGCTCAAGAAATATTGCAGATTTTTAAGCACCCTTCATTTTCTACAATTTGGATACCTTTCATATTCATGGCTTTGCTGTTTTGATTTTTTTTTTCACAAATAAGCAATCATGTCTAGTTTTGTGCAAACAAGAAAAATATATGAACAAATTGTACAATCAAGGATCCACTTAGTAATAAAAAAGAAATTAATATGCACAAGACACACAAATGATAAAATCTAAGAAAATAAATTTGATAATAAATCTTAAATATTCATCAATAACATGATGACTGACCAAGACCACTTCATGTGACAGTGAAGACATTCATTTTTGACAAACTTATGCAATGTTATTCATTGCTAAATACTTGACAGTAAGTCAACTTATATGATGGGTTCTTGAAAAATTGATAAGCTGATATAAGTGAAAATAAAAAATATTAACAATTACCTTTCACAAACATGAAGTGTGTGTATTGCATCAGGCAAATCAGCTCTATGGAGGCCTTTTCTAGTTTCAAGGATCCTGTTAATTAAGTCCAAATCTGCTTCATGTTTAGCAATATCCTGGGGATTGTTGGATTTTCCTAAATTTGGAAGTAATGGTTTTTGTTTCTTTTTTTCTGAAAATATATAACATGTATAATAAGTTGCATGGTAACAAAACTAGAACAAGCTTGAAAATTACCACTAATCAATTCATCTCAAGATGTCATGCTATAGAACTGTCACCATAGTAATTGATATTCACACATTATGAAATTAATCTGCAGGAAACAAAACTTGAATAATTAATAAATCTATTTCGTAATCATACAATTAAGCTATAATCAACTCTAAGACGTACAAAAGTATTTCCTAAGAAAACACTTACTATTTTCCATGAAATCATCATTTAGAAACTGGTCAAGATCATCATCAAATGCCCTGTCTGCAGGTCTCTTTCTGTTCATAAGGCCACCATTCTGAATTTCATCTATTTGGGATATCTCTGCAATACCTAAGAAACAGTAAATCATTTCAATTTTTTCAAATCAATTCACCTCTAAAAATATATACAATAGTATATAAAAGTTCAAACAGTACAGCAGCAATTTCAAATGCAAACAACATAAAAAGCTTATGGCATCTATTTTTTCCTTGGCAAAGCAAGCCCTTGTGCCAGGTGACAAGTATCCATGACATGCACAGTCGAATTTGCTCCATAAGTGTGCACTACATATATTCATTTGTTTGGCTGTGACTGTGGTAATTAATGAGGTACAGCCCTCAAAAGTACAATGTAAGTGTAAGAAGCATACCTTCATCTATAGCTGTATTTTTTACAGACACTGGTGGTGGACTTGCAAAATTAAGGCTTCTTTTGATGGAGGGAGGAATAGTTGCTGCCTCTGCAGCTGCAGCATCTTCATCAAAATCTGCAATAAATTTGTGGTAATGATTGTATTTGTCTAAAGGGAACCATCTGATTTCAATATAGCCCTAAGTTCAAAATCTGGTAATGTCAACTCTTTGGCCACAGCATGGGATTTCATATTCCATACAAGTATTAACCCTATATGGACCAGAATGACGAATTTGTCATACTAGTCCTCCATAAACCTTCCCTCATGCAGTACCCAAAGGACACACTCAATCACAGCAACTTAGATTGTTGAATAAATTTTGTGACGTGGAGTTGGGGACTGTCTCTGGCTAGTGGATATGTAAAGAATTACCTCACCAGCTCCATAGGGGATCCTATTCTTGCCCACCATGACCAGCAGCAATGGTTGCATTACAGGAAAATAATTACCACAAAAAAAAATAATAATCTATACAGTAAGGACGCAATAAGTTTGGGCAAACTGAATATGATATTTTTGTAGAGGGCAAAAATTTGCAGTCGCTGGTACAAAATGTAATATACAGACACGAATGATAAGGCCAAAAAATGAAAGTAAAAGATCACAGAAAGCACCACTCAGCCGAAGTCCACTCGGTGCTCCTGAGTTTCAGCTCTATCTTGTTGTGCATATGAGGTGGAGACAATGTTTCCTGGGGGGAAACATTGTCTCCACCTCATATGGAGTTGGGGGCTTGGTCTTTTTGCAATGGAAAATAACAAGAGATTCCCACACATTAGTGTGAATAATTAAAACAAGGAATATTACGTAATTGTTTAGAATACCTTCAAAGGACCAACCACAACAATAATGATATCAATGGATTCCTCTCACCCTCTACTACCCATACATGTAGGACATTTGCCACCTAAGCCCCTAAACCCCAACAATCTTGGCCCAATAGCAGGAAAGGGTATAATTGGTACCAGGAAAAATGTGGGGCAAAATATGAATATACAGAGAATTGGTCAATAAATATAGACCGATTTGGTGTGACGTCATGAGTCAGTCACCATTCCACTTGGTGAAAACAAACCCATCTCTTGCAGATACCTTTGTTATCAGCATGAGCAAAAATGGCATATGAATTTTCAAAAAATAAAGTGAAAAAGCGATATAAAGAAAAAATAGAGACTGTGCAACTAAAAGACTGCCCATATCGTCTGCCTGCCAAAATTTGGATCGACAATCCTTCGAAAAGGCCTAATGTTGAATACTCTGACATCTACGACAATTTCACTAACACACCTGGTAAAAATTTTATGATAACATAATTTGATACATTAATCTATGACTTTTAGCTATAGAGGGTACTTTTCTTCCCATTTACTAGGTGTTTATATAAAGGAGACAATGAAACTACATAAAGGCCTACAAGTGCACAAAGCATTTTTCTCTCTCCTCAATAATTTGACCTCAAGAGATAGGCCCTCTTCAGTTGTTTCAACTACTGGACCAAAGGATATTTCAGACACAAAAGCAACAGGCAATTGTATGCCTGCTTTGTTTTCATTTAATGAACAGTGCTTGAAGACACTTGGGATGAAGTCTGGATGAGTTGGATCCAGGGATGGTTTACCTTTAAATTTGAATCATGATAGGTCAATTTTTTACAAATGAAAAAACAAAATAGTAAAATTGCTGTTGCAATTTTTTTGGTATATGACTGCTGCCAACACCTAATGTCGACAATGTTGACCTTGTTTGGCCTTGGCAGATAGTATAGATAGATAGAGTTTGAAAGTGATTATCTGTCTTTGGAATCTGAAAAGGTTTAAAATATCAATATGTAGATCAATAAAATATGCTGATGTAAACATTTTCCACCACGCGCCCAAGCACTCCCATCAGTGTTCACGCATTTCATGGCCTGTACCTATCACTTCCATTTATCAGGTTTCTTTTCATATCTGGGAATATATGAAAGGTTAAAACTTTCTTTTCCATCATCATGTGGTTCAAACAACCAATGGCAACTCAGCTTCTCAGCATTTTCACACAAAGGAACAGAATTCTCAGAAAAATTCAGCAACTTTGTATGCTAAGCACATTGAGATTCTGAACAAACGAGGGTTTGTTTTCACCAAGTGCTCATTACTAGGGGCGGTTGCTAAGCGTTACCAAATTGGTATATTCAAATGCAGGGCTCCCTGGCCTCTGTAATTCCCCCATGAGGAGCTGCCTCCACCCAATGCCCACAAAGTAAGACATAGAATCCTGTATGAATTCACTGACAACCCAATGCCGAGTTTGCCCTATGCTTTATCCTGCTGTACATACATGGTCAATTCTTCCTTATCCAGAACAGGAGTTGCAGAAGCCCCCTGCATTTGACTAAATATTGAACAAATCTCAGTATATTATTCATGTCTTACCCTGTAATTTCCTTAGTACCTACCATTTATGCGATTTTCTGACTATCGGGGCCATGTTTGTGGGAGTTTGGGGGGTAGCTTCGGCATTTCTATATATTTGGACAGTAGAGAGCGAGAAGAATCCATCAAGACTACATTCGTCGTGATCGGTCTTACGAAGCTATTCTGAATATTTACCAGATATGTGAAAATACATTAAATGTACTCCACGAGATATGCGGACTCAATAATCTTATCAAACTAGAAATGCACAAAATTTACACCTGTGGCAGTTAAAAGAAACTTACTATCAAATTCTCGCATCATCTCCAACTCATCTGCATGGAGCATTTCATATTCATCCTCTGCATTCGGAAACTCATCCATTCTGATGGTTCAACTACTGAATAAGTGCAAATATTAGGTACTTCGGCTCCACCGAGGTAAACAATCACAACAGCTGACTTTTCCCGCCACAACGGCAGGCGAGTGAGATTGCGTTCGAATCTAGAATTATGGATTTCTTTATAATAATCTATCGAAATATTTCTTTTCTTGGTACATCAAATCTATAGCATTTTTGCATTGTTTGCATTAAATTTTCTTAACTTCTCTCCACTCTAGAATGATGTGATTATTTTGAACGATATATTTTTTTACATTTTGCAGCAGAGGTTCTCCAACTGTCGGCCACTGGCCACTGGGCCACGGCAGTGAAAATAGAGAAAGCAGTGAAAACCAGAAATAAACTAAAATGTCTCTGTCACTATCTGTTTGTCTACCTATCTATCTACCTATATACTTATCTATTTATACACCACAACTAAACATCAGATGATAAAGAAAACGGATAAAAATAACAATGGACCATACATTATCATAAACGGATATATATTAAATAACACTTACAAAGCGTAGGATCAGTCTGCTGATTATAAGATTCCCTGCGTTACTTTCTTGTTTACTGTATGCCTAAAACAATATACAAGAAATATATTACCAAGACAATATGGTAACATTCAACAATATGAAATGCACCCGCATCTCTTTATAGGAAATATTTTCGATGCATTACAAGAAAATGTGACATTGAACGTGTAAACTTGGTTTATCTAAACAGTATACGATTATTCATAGTGTGTTGTAGGGTTGAAAGTTTAAAAGTCACTCTATGGGACTGACTCTGCCTTCGATAATGCCCAGCTAAACCAGCTGGAGTGACATCTGAGGACTGGCAAATTATAGCAGTTCATAATAGGATATTTTCAGCAATTTTCGTTTATTTAAACATGGAAAAAACTCAATATTGTTTTAAATTTCTTTCCTTTGCATCAAACCATCTGTAGTCATACAAAATAACAAAAATACGGCCATAGAAAAAAAAATCCGGAGTGACGTCACCATCCGTCGGTCGTCTTTTGTTTCCGTTTAGCACACGCATTTCCGTTTAAGTCCAGCCCTTAACGTTGTTGACGTCCGTGTTTCCCTATATTGCAATACTAATGAAATCCTTAACAAAATCTGGGTCCGGGTCATGTTCCGGATCATCACCAAATCTAATGGCATCCAAGTTGGGCTCTGGTAAAAATAAATAAATAAAATAAATAAATAATAAGAATCACCTTCCAAACATTTTGAGTTACCCTGCTGACGAAACCAACCAACCAACAAACAAAAATTCCTGGAGCCGAATCATCACCAAAATCATCACCACATGGGTAAGGCACATCACTTGTAAACAATTCATAAAAATCTATCCATGACTTTCTGAGTTATCCTGCTACCCAACGAAAAAACTAGTTAACCCACGCTACCAAAAATAGAACCACACACCATCCTACTTCTGATGCTATTTTGTAGTGCTTATGGCGATAATGTTAACCCTAACCCTTGTCACCCCAAGTACACGGACATGATTTGTCTTGGGGCTGTCAAATGGAGCCAGAGGGCCATACAATGTGAAAACAGTTGCGAGAGATACGAGCATGCCTGCTGGTACCCTTTCAGCTGCATCGGGTCTTTCACACTGGGCTAATTAACAGTAACATTGTAAATTTGCAACAGTAGTGGCCTGTCTAATTTTCGAGCTCATTTTTCACATCTATCGCACTATGTAGCCACGTGAACTGCGACATTTAATGTCATAGGCATGGTCCCCTGTGTTGATGTGTTTAAATAATACACCTCGACCCTTGAGATGACAAATGTATAGAGGAGTGCATCTCACGAAGGCGGCCATCAGTGGAGTGCAGGGCAGTTCGATAGTTAACATTGACCTGAAACGACGTACATAATGGCTAATCTGGAGACTTGTTCCAGACTGTAGAGTTTGGTCTGCGCGCAAAAATTATTTGGTCAAATTCTGTCCGCGCAAATGTAGTTCTCAGGTAACTTTCCGCGCATGCTTAATTCTTTTTTAGATCATCTTCCACGCATGAAATTCTTTTGACCTTTCCGCGCACTTATTTCATCATCCGTCCGCAGATCCATCCGCGCAAATGTAGACAAATTGATGTTTTTCCCGCATGAATAAATGTAATATTCCCCACGCAAGAAAAATACTCTATAGTCTGGGACTTGTTAAAGGTCTTAGACTGTTCCCGCTATGCGTACGTATTAAACACATTCACGGATAGTTGAAAATATCATGTGCATACGTATATACGTATATAAACTTTATGTATTGTAATATAGAAACAGGTTTGGCAAACGGTGTAAAACATAGTTTTTTGTGGTTATAATTGTATAAGCACTGGTTAAAATATTGTGACTGAACATAAACCTAATTGTAACAGGGATTATGAATGTTATTATATTGATTACAGGTTTGACTGCATTTTAATAAATAGTGAAGCGAGAACGAGGCGGTGGTATCAGTCACCTTAAACTACCTCAAATAACCTAAGCGCATGAAACGGCGCTTATACACTAATTTCTTCAACGCACTCCATTCGCATGACACAAACAGCCTTCCTTAAAAACACGTTCTTCCCTCAAACCCCGCCCACACCAACATAAGACCGGACGCTCAATTCCAGTAAATTCCCACCCAACTTCCCATCATATCACCGAGCTCCATATACTACTGCTCTTGGCCTTCCCTTTACTCTCGCACCTCTCACTAATCTTCTTGCCCCAATTTCTGCCTATCCCTACTCTCCCCCTCCCCTTTCTTCATCTTTCCATTTCTTCACTTCCTCATCTCATTTCCACCCTTTCTCTTCCACTTTCTTCTTCTTCTTCCAAACAGAGTAACTCAACTTCTTCAAATCATGCAATCACATCAACCAGACATTATGAAATAAGCACTGAGACATAGCTGACTCCCGACACTGACTCTGTTGAACTTCTCTCTCCCTTTAGCATGCCACACGCAAAGACGCTCGACTGACGCTGGCAGAGGTGGCGGTATTCTCACAGTCTGTGGAATCGCCTGGATCCAATTCCAACTTTCCAGCTATAAGGCCACCTTTTACTAACTCAGGGGCCATCACTTTTGACCTGTGCAGGCGTGGGAATTCCCCTACATCATTAAGACGAGGGGCTAGGAGGGATACATTTGAAAAAATAAAATGAGGGAGAGTGAGAGATACAGAGAGAGGAACGAAGAGAGAGAGAGAGAGAATAAATCTCCAAACAAAGCTTGAGCGGTCACTCGTGCTGTTATATTATTGTTTGTATTTGGGCGTATTGTTTCAAATGAGGTGCTATAGTTTTTCCCTAATTTGCCCTATGCCTGACAGTGCATTCAGCAGCCAAATATTGTTTACGACGAGTAATGACTCGTAAGAGAAATAAGATGTCGATATGATATTGATAGAAAATGTAAAAGATCCAAAACTAGAACTGGGTGAGGTAAGAGGATTCTTAAACTGGCATATTACTTCAAAACCATAAATCTGTTCTTCTATTTGTTTCAAGCCGACACGCACTCCATTCCGGACATGACCACGGTCAAGGTCAATATATATATATATATAATATATATATATATATATATATATATATATATATATGTGTGTGTGTGTGTGTGTGTGTGTGTGTGTGTGCGTGTGTGTGTGTGTGTGTGTGTGTGTGTGTGTGTGTGTGTGTGTGTGTATGTATGTATGTATGTATGTATGTATATGTATATATATATATATATATATATATATATTATATATATATATATATATATATATATATATATATATATATATATATATATATATATATATATATCCCCCCTCTCACTTTCTAACATAGACATTAATGTTCCTGAAAAACTAATCAGGCCGTGGTAGCAATACCTTCATACCATGGATCAGTCGTTATTCAAAGGTGTACATCATCAGCAGCAGCATTATGAGCTAACGTCGACGGGGGCGCATAGCCGCGTCCACCTTTTGGGATCCCTGATGGCAAGCAGCCAGGCAGGGACTCGGCCCATCTCGAGCTCCTCGCGACAGATTTGATCGATCTGTCCAAGCCACGACTTCCTAGGTCATCTCACAGGCCTCCTCCACCCAGGGTTGTCTCTTACAGAGACAACCTGATGAGCAGGATCAGCCTGTGGAAAGCGAGCCAGGTGGCCATATAGCCTGAGTTGGCGATCCCGGATTGTGCAGGTAACAGGTCCTGCGCCAGTCTCACGATGCAACCGTTGGTTAGACACATGGTCCCGCCAACAGTACCCCATGATCCGGCGCAAGGACCTATTACAAAAGGCGTCAAGACGAGACTCCAGGGCACTGGCTAATGTCCAGGTTTCACTACCATAGAGCAAAATTGGCATTATCAGGGCCTTGAAAACCAGTAGCTTGGTCCTTCTGCACAGGTACCGGCATCTCCAAATACTCTTGTTGAGAGAGTTCATGACCCCTGCTGCCAGGCCAATCTGTCTGCTGACTTCCTGGTTTGACAGCCCTGAGTTATGAACTACACTACCAAGGTATGTAAAGCTCTCTGTGACTTTAATGTCCTCGCCGCAAGCACGTACCGATCGAACAGGTCCTCCAAGCAAGTCCCCAAAGTCCTGGACCTTGGTCTTGGTCCAGGAGACCTCTAGATCCAAGGGCTTCGCTTCATTACTAAATGCATCGAGAGCCACCACTAAGGTTTCCAAAGACATCGGCAAAGTCAAGGTCTGTAACCTTAATATTGCCATGTTGCTCCACAATGACTTTGAACAGTTGCTCTGCCCAGTATCCAGTCCATGCAAGTGCTGAAAAGTGTTGGTGCATGAACACAGCCTTGCTTCACTCCTGAACTGACAGGAAAGAAGCTTGACAGGCTCCCACCACACTTTACAGCACTTTCAGTACCAGTATACAGGCTTGCTATTAGTCCAATAATCCTTGTTGGAATTCTTCTCAATCTCAGGGTCTCCCAGAGTGATTCCCGATGCACTGTATCGAACGCTTTCTTGAGGTCGATGTAGGCTGCAAGCAGCCCATGCCCGAACTCAAGACGGCGCTCTACAATGACTCGAAGCACAAGGATACGATCTATTGTG